GGTTTTACATTAAAACTCCAAGAAAACAAAAACATGTTTCAGCGAATAGAAATCCTGCTGCTTTGGCAAGTTTCTAAAAAAGTAATAGTTATGAAGTGATGTATCTTCAGTGGCAAGGCTTAAGGTAGCTCTGATTGCTCATGAGGGAGAAATGGAAAGAGGAAAAGAGAGCAATCAGAAATATCAAGGCCAGTTTGGAAACTGGGTCATGGAGGGGAAAGACTATGAAAAGGGTGTGTGTGTGTGTGTGTGTGTGTGTGTGTGTGTGTGTGTGTGTGTGTGTTCGTATTCATTCGTTTTTTGTTTTGTTTTGTTTTTTTTGTGTGGTGAGACAAGCTTCTCTTCAGTTTTAGGGAATGAGTTTTCAGTTTGGGAGAGGGAGTTAGTTATAAACTGCCTAGAGATCAATGTTAGGAGGCCTCTGAGGAACCAGATTGGCAGTGAATAGGTGGTAATGTAGTGGGAAACCCTTGAGCAGAGGAAATAGCAAGCACTTAACCGACTCATGATCCTATTCTGGTAGAAATAGCCAACTAGAGTCTCAATTCTGCTTCCTAATCTAGAATGTCTTGATGAGAAGGTGGGAGATAAGGAGCTTGTAAGTAACAAGATCAAGTTGGATTTTGAGTTTACTAGACCCTGTTCTTCTCTTACCCAGGAAAATTATGTGGTGTTTTCAGCAAATGAAGCTCTCTCCTACTGTTTTCTCTTTTTCACCAAATCCTCAAATGATAAAGGGAATTGGTCATGTGGCTAGAGAGGACACTGAAGTAATTATCTGTTGCACTAGTTTTCAGCTAGAATCGTGCATCCCAGTAACCTGGGGAAAAATTTTAAATAATCTACAAGTCTAGGCTCTCCCCTGAAGATTTTCATAAAATAAGTCTAATAAATCCTGGACATGTATGTTTCAAAATGTTTCCTTGAAGCCAGGCATGGTGGTGCATGGCTGTAGTTTCAGCTGCTGGGGAGGCTGAGTGGGAAAATTGCTTGAACTCAGGAGTTTGAGTCTAGCCTGGGCAACATAATGAGACCTTTTCTCTAAACAACGATGACAAATTGCTCAAAATCTGGATATACTCCTGCTTAAGAATCACTGAATAAATAAGTGTCATATGTAAATTCTTACATCTCAGAAACTTAAGATATCTCTAGAAGAGCTGGAGTTGGAGTTGGATATGTGCTAATTCCTTTATGTCTTTCATTTCTCATAATACTATTTGACTTTTTTTCTTTTATGGGACAAGGTCTCTGTTTACCAGGCTGGAGTGCAGTAGTACAATCACGGCTCACTGCAGCCTCTACCTCCCCAAGCTCAGGTGGTCCTCCAACCTCAGTTTTTGTGTATATATATATATATATATATATATATATATATATATATTTTTCTGAGTGGAGATGAGTTTTTTGCCGTGTTGCCCAGGCCAATCTTGAACTCCTGGGCTCAAGTGATTCATCTGCCCCAGGCTTTCAAAATGTTAGGATTACAGGTGTGAGCTGCCATTCCTGGCCTAATCTGACTTTTATGTCTGTGGTTGGGATGTTAAAATGAATATTATTGGCAGTATCAATCAGCTTACAGAATTATGCCTTCTCCTTCCTGTCATCAGTTATTCACTGCCATTCAGAAGGTCTTTAGAAATTTGCAGTGAGTAGTCTTCAGTAAGTAGAGGATGGTTCTC